TTTAGGACAATGATTCAGTTTACATGAAACAATAATGGAAATATACATTGCAAATCTTAGTATGGAGAACAGTACTTAATAAGATTCTTAAGCATTTCCATAATTAATATCCATTGCACAACATGGCTTCTTTAAATGTTTATCAATAGCATCTGACATGATTTACTATTTGAGTTGACAACTGAGAGAAGTATATTGTTCAAAAATTCTAAAAGTCTACCTTGTTTCTCTAAAGCCAATTTAAAAGTAAAGGTGGATATTCATTCATTATATAATCCCACTGGGTCTCCGAAGACTCAATTCATGAATTTTTAAAGCAATTTGTCTTTTCTATAGTAATATTAGAATGGCTAGATTTTCTGCTTATGTGAAGGCAATGTGTACAAAAGTAAACTACAGAGAAAGATTGAATATCTTGGCTCTGGGTTCGATTGTAACTCTAACTTGTAATTATCAAGCAATGTGGAGTTTATATTTTTTATATTCCCAGTCTCATATTTTCTGAGCCAGTATCCAGTTGCCTCAGAGCTTCAATTCATTTCTCTGTTAAGTAGGTATGAGAACAACATATCAAAAAAATGTTTTGTAGAATTTTTAGAAAATTATAGTATTTCATATAGGAGATAGTACAACCACTTTCTTTACATTTTTATTCTCCAATGCTATCCTATAAATCACTGGAATCTAAATAGAATAAAAAAAACAATACAATAAAATTAAATTAAAGTTTATACTAAACACAGCTTTTATAAAAAAAAAATAAGTTATTTAGGTTCTTTTGACCTCTCATTTGGTATTAACAAAGGACAAATCCCCTAGAAATCTGCAATAGAGAAATAACAATTGTCAGTTAATTAGTAACTGTTCCTAGTAAGTGATACCAACAATAGTTTTGTTCAGTTCATCTGATTAGTAACTGAATGAACACTGAACATGAACACAGCCCTTGATTAAATGCCACTTGTCTACCTAATGGAGTGCCTGAGGAGGAACAAAAAATAGTCTTATGCTTGATATATATATATATATATATATATATATATATATATATATTTTTTTTTTTTTTTTACTAACTTTCAGCACAGTTTATGTTTAGTTGTAAAGCCACAGAAATCTTAATTTATCATACTTCTGTGCACTCTTTCATGTAAATTAGTGATACATGATTTTTAACAACCTTATGATAAATGCAGGCTTTTGATATTTTCTTTCTGTTCTCAATTTAACTATAATGTAATTGGTTCATTTTTTTTAACCATAGAAAGTGCATCATGCTACTGACTAATTTTTTTGGTTGCTTTAAAATAAACTGTGTGAAAAAAAAAAGCATTTACCACAGTAACTTGAAATTAGTCAAGTTTGCTTTGACGTAAAAGTTCTCAAGTTTCTCTAAAAAATGTGTTGATATTTCAGACTAGATACTAGTATTTGCTAATTTGAAGTTATATTAGTTTTCAGATGATGAGTGAGAATCAAAAAGACCAAAGTTCATTGATTTTGAAACTGTGTGACAACTGTTTTTTTTTTAAGTGACTGCCACAACAAAGGAATGCACATTATAATTATGTTGGTAAATAAAGCAATTTTAACAGAGGCTTAACAATTAAGTTGAGTGTAAACAGTTTTATAAAGCTATATATTTTACCTTCAAAGTTGAGTGAAAATAATCAGTTTGGTTACTGTTTTATTTTTCTGAAATGATACATATACATATACAGCAAACTGCTGTTTCAGAAATAACACTGGACCAAACAATTTTGTTAATGCTTCCTGAAAAAAAAATGGCATTTAATAAATTCTAAAATTTTGGTGTAATTCAAAGAAACCAAAATTCAATAAAATGATTCTTTGCTGTGATTTACATTAGCTTTTATAGCATTGCTTGATTTTAATGAATAATGTAAAATAGAAATAATCAAATCAAATAAAATCAATATAATACAGATTATTTTATTTTAAAATAGTAACTATAAATACATTCTCAATATATTTCTCCCTAACTCTTTGGATGCAACAATAACAAAAAAAAAAAAAAGAAAGAAAGAAAGAAAGAAAGAAAGAAAGAAAGAAAGAAAGAAAGAAAGAAAGGAAGGAAGAAATAAAGAAAAGAAAAAAAGAAAAGAAAACAATCTCACTGTGCTCATTTGATATATTATCTATGTAAAAATCATGCAAATGATATTGTAGAGTAATATTATCACCATATACTTCTAGATTGACTCTGATATTTCTGAAATACCTGTGCCATTACTCATGAGGCCATGCCTTTTAATATTTATGCATCCTTATGTTGTACAAAACTAAATGTTTATGAAAAGCAACAAATGATAATGGTCTTCAATAACTTTCTAATTAATATATGTGTTGATACTGTTATTTAGAATGGAAAATTAAGTATAGATATAAATTGTCTCATATATTTGAATCACTGTACTTTAATAGCTGATTTTTCATAAAATTACACAAAGATTAACTTTTGAATAATTTTTATTGATTTCATAAAAAAATAATTTAAATCTTGATTTATATTACATGGACACAATATATTATGTCACCCCTTCACTGATTTCATAAGATCTAGTTTTCTCTGAAACTGTTCTAACACAGTCCATACACAAGAAAATCATGCCAAGAGGGTCATGATATCTCATCTCACTTTAGAAATTGTCACTTCTTGGCTTTTTAAGATTTGAATCAAAGTCTTTCTAAAAAATGTTTTACCATGTACATATCATACCTCAAAGGGTAAACTAACATCACGATTGTAGTTGAAGTCAACAAAATGTACATACAGTATTTTAACTGCTCTGGTACTCAACTCAGAATTTATAACTAACTACAGTATCATAAAAGATACAAGAACTAATGAAAGACAGGTGCAAAATAGCATACACTATATAATGTAGGCACAATGACTTCAGTTAAGGAAGTATATTAGCCTTAACCAAGGATTTGTTACTTTCATTTACAATTAGAACCTCCAAATAACCACATACAATTAAACTATTTTATCTTAATATTCTCTGAACATTTTTATCTTTCAGCAGAAGAGTGTGGGGAAGCTGATATACTACAGCAAGCTTAGCAATGCCTAAGATGGTGCCAGGTACTCTTGCTATTGACAGTCCTGCAGAAACCTTGAAACATCTTCCAAACATCACCTCACTGAATAAAAATACACAATCCCAAGGACCTGTTAGCTTCAGCTTATGCATGGAACTTTCTGGTTCCTCATATAAGTGTTCATTTAAGATTTCTGTATCCACACTTTACTGATGGGATAAACAAAAACATTTCCTTAGAATCCTTTGTGTCTTTATTCTGTCAGTGTGCATTAGGAGCCCTTTAATCCATGGATGCATGCATGCATGTAAATGGCATATTAAGTGTCCTCATGAAACTGCAAATGGAAATTAGCGTTTTAACACACTTCTTTTCTTTCAAGATCAGAAAGAAATTATCTGTTTGGATGTATTTATATTAATATAAAGTATTCACAGACATTGTCATGAAACTGAAAATTACATGTTAAAGTTTTAAGAGCACCAGCATATACATAGGGAGATTTTTATTTTCTATCTAAAACAAAATGTCCAAATCATCTATATGTGTGAATATATACCCAAACACACATGCATGTACACACACACACACACACACACACACTCACACACACACACAGAGAGAGAGAGAGACATAACTATACATAGTCCTATAGTAAAATTAAGTTTATCTTTAAAAAATTTTGAACAAACCCATAAAATCTTCAAATTAGTATTTAATAAACGGATTACTATTACAAGCTTAACTGCAATATCCTTTTGGAAGCTGCACAAAAACATCTGCCCATTTGCCTTCTTGGCTACCTTACTGAATAATTAATTTATCACACATCACACCAAACACACACACACACACACACACACACACACACACACACACACACACA